CTATTTGGAGTCCTGGTATGGTGCTGTGGGTTAATGTGCCAGACTGCAAAGCCGTTTGAACTGCAAGGTTGGTGGTTCAAGCTCACCAGCTGCTCCTTGGAAACACTATACAGGGTCGCTATGGGTCGGAATTGACTTGACAGCACTTAACAACAACAACAGACAATCCTTGAGGAGCTCTAGTAGCATATTGGTTATGAGTCAGGCTGCTAATCTCAGGTCAGCAGTTCGAAACTACCCACTGCCTTGCAGGAGAAAGATGAGGCTTTCTGCTCCCGTAAAGATTTCCAGCCTTGGGAATACTACACAGGGTCACTATGAGTTGGAACAAACTCCAGGACATACCACCACCACTACCACCACCTTTCAGGTCTAGAACTGAACTCACCCTCATGGCTCAGTTTTCAGCCAAGCAGCAAATAGTTCCACAGGGAGGATGAGAACACTTGTAAGGTGTACACACCATGGAATGGTCAACCATTCAAGATCAAGAGGGCTGTATTTCTCAAAGAACACAGTTCAGGAAGGCTGGGAAGAAAAGGTGAGATGGAAGTAAGAATCCGAGGGAGGAAGTGAACAATTGATGGTGCATGGAGGGAGGTGCTATAATCAACATGACACAAGGATCTGATTTTGCTGAATGTAAAACCAATACTCTGCTCTGGAAACCTTCACTCAGTTTACTATAAAAAGTTTCAACTTGTTTTTTTTTTTTTTTCTTAAACGTTTTATTGTGAATTATGTGATAGTTTACATGGGAGAACATTAATTTTACATTCATTCTATCGTGTATCGTCTCATTGCCATGGTTACAATCTCCTCCATGCAACATCAACCAACCAAAGGGTATACCCTGCAATCCTGCCCCCCGTACTCCCCAGGTCTTCGGCACACAGTCGCTCTCCTTCTCTGGATCTAAAGTCTCCAGCTGCTCCGTTGCTCTACATCATCATCTCAGGCATCACTGCTTCCCTGGGTAGGGTCCCGCTCTCCGCTCTTCTCCCTTGATGGTCCTAGGGACCTCCGCTCCTAGACTGAAAAGTTAATCACTCCTCTCCTTGCTATAAAACGTCTACCTTTACATTTCCAACCCTCACAATCAGTCCTGATAACAATTATTCACTACTGTATCACAAGAGACCCGTCTGCATTTCATTGCATCAGCCCCACCTAGACAGATTGAACACTACTCACTGGAGATTCTACCTTCCTCCAGGCCCTCTGGGTCTAGGTTCCCTCTTGAAAGCTTGTAAGCCAGTCACTTCTTGCCTTTGTGTAGCCCCCGCCCCCCATTTTGGGTAGCCAATGTCCAAGTTGCCCATCCCTGTCTACTCTGTGTGTGGAGGGGGTGGGAATGATTCTTGCTGTAAGCATTTATTCCCTCTTTTGAGCTACTGCTTCCATAGGTGTAGGTCAAGTTCATCAAATTGTATGAGAAACCTTTTTTTTTTTTTTTCCCCTCTTCTTTTTACTTCTGGTTGAGCTCTGATCATCCAGTCACTGAAGCCAGGATAAGTGGGTATTATCTGCAAGTGTGGGTGTTCTTATGCATATGCCCTCTCTTCTTATCAGCTGGATGCTTCACTCTCCACTCTAGTCCTCTGTGGCTATGTCACTGACTCTGGGCCCAAGAGTCCCTAGATCTTGCCACACTGCTATTTTTAAGAGAACAAATTGTGCCATAAAAGCTATTATTTAAAAAAAAATGTTATTTACATCCTATTTATCTCATTCTTTAGCTTTTTCCTTCTGTGTACATTAGTGCATAATGTTAACATGGTCATTTTGTTGTTTTGTGCTGAGCTCTGGTAGCGTAGTGGCTATGAATCGGGCTGCGAACCGCAAGGTCAGCAATTCGAAACTACCATGGGAAGCTGTTCCATGGGAGAAAGATGAGGCTTTCTGCTCCCATAAAGATTTACAGCCTCAGAAACCCTGTACAGGGTCACTATGAGTCGAAACTGACTCCACGACACAACAACAACAACAGTTGATTCCAACACTGGAATCTTTAGCGAAGCAGATTGACCATCATTTCTCCGTGGAGTGGCTATTGGGTTCAAACAAATTCCTGTTTTATGATTAGCAGCCAACTGATTAACCACAGTGACACCAGGGCTCCTTCTTGATACACGGTGGTGGTGGTGGTGTGCCATCCAGTCAGTTCTGACTCACAGCAACCTGGCATAGGGTTTCAGAGGCTGTAAATCTTTACAGGAGCAGAAAGCCTCCTCTTTCTTCTATGGAGCAACTGGTAGATTTGAACTTCTGACCTTGTGCTTAGCAGCCCAGCTTCTAATTCACTATACTACCAGAGCTCCTTGGTTAATATACTGATGGTGATTTAAGGACAATCAACTTTAATTGCCATTCAATTGAAATGTTGAAACAAACTGAACCTGGCACCAGATGTTTTATCACAAAGTAAATATACCAGAAGTTTTTTTCATTGTGGCATATTCAGCCCCATTGCTTCTAAAATAGATTAGCACTAATAGTGATATTTTGAAGAGGACAGAATTGTTATGTTTTTATTTAGAAATACTATGTACTTCCTATTTGAGGAACTCAGGTAGTGGGTTTGGAATTGGGCTGCAAACTGGTGGTGGTGATTGTGGTTTAGTGCAGCCAAGTCAGTTGCGACTCATAGTGACCCCGTATAGGGTTTCTGAAAAGCAGCTGGTGAGATTTGAACTGCCGACCTTGCAGTCCAGTCCTGCAGCACCATACCAGGCCTCTGATCATATGGTCGGCAGATTGAAATACCAGTTGCACCTTGGGAGAAAGATGTGGCTTTCTGCTCCCGGAAACCCTATATTGGGGTCACTATGAGTTGGAACCAACTCCACGGCATCCTCCACCACCACCACTTGTCTGTATGGCACCCTGGAGCTTTTTCTTTCCTGTATATTAGTGAGTAACATTAAAACATGGCTATGTTGTTTTATGTGTCATCCATCGAGTAGGTTCTGACTCTGAGAGATCTTACTGCCCATAGGGCTTCCTAGGCTAAAATCTTCATAGGAAGAGAGCTTTCTCTTGTAGTGACTCATGAGTTCAGATGGCCAAACTTTCAGTTAACAACGGAGTTCTTACCCATTGCCCTACTAGAGCTTCTTAGATACATGATACGGAGTCCTGGCGTGACTCTGTATCGGAGGCTCAAGCTCACCAGCTGCTCCTCAGAAGCCATATACAGGCCCGCTATGGGTCGGAACCGACTCGACCGCCCTTCCATAACAATTTTTATGAAAAAGTGTGTGTTCTGTATGTATTATTGACAGGAATATGTGAAAAACAACCTTGGAACCCACTGCTGGAAACCAGTCAGTGACTTTCAGATGTTTTGACAAGTTCAGCATTTTAAAGTCACCTGCTGCTCCTCAGAAACCGTATACAGGGTCACTATGAGTCGGCATTGACTCAGTGGCATTCAGCAACAATAACAGAATAAGAAATAGATGTGGGTAGGCCCATTCTGTGGCTGCACTCACACCTAATATGAGACAGACTGTTGTTTGTGGCTTTTATTTCTGACGTTGGTCTTACCTGAAGGATTTGGCAAAGCTGGCTCTGGACCATGGGAGGCAGGACCTAGATCTTGCTGATACCAGATGTAGCTCCTAGGTGTGTCTCTCTTTGTCTCCTGTTGACTGTCCACCCTCTTAAATGCAGCAGGATAAAAACAACTGTCAGTTGATCTCCCTGATGACTTTTTTTATAGATCCCACGAACTCACTAGCCGTCCTTTCCCAGAAGACATCTGGGAGACGGTATCTGCCCAGCATTGTCTCACTGCCCACTGTGAGGGTCCTTGTGGTTTGAGGTTGAGAGGCACCTCAGAACACAGGTCTGATGACTGCCTGAAAACCCAACCATTGAAAACACTGTGGAAGGCAGTTCTGTTCTGACATATGTGGGGTTGCTGTGAATCATAGTGGATTGGTGGTTTCTGTTTGCTTTTAAGAATCTCTCATGAAATCAGCAACTTACCTGTAATGATAACAATACCAAAAGTAGATTGTGCTTTTCTGAGACTGCCAGGTAGGACTCTGTCTCCCAATCCTATGAACGATGCCTCTAAGATCGGGTTTTCCTGCCCGCTTTCGATGAGGACACTGAAGCACACTCCACTTGTCCCCACCCCTCTGTGCAGAGATGGGGCATAATGCAGGGCATCATTGCTGATGAGCTTAGTGCCTTGGTCTATGCCAGGCCACACTCAGAACTCTCCCAGGCTCAGCACAGCGACATCAACCCTGCACCTGTGTCTAGGTCAGATCTACGCCGGGTGCTGAGGACAGTGATTACAGAGGCTCCTGTCTCCCGGTGCCTGCAACAATCTAACTGCTGCAGTCAGCACTTGTGCTTGGCCTTTTGATTCCTCAGGGTGACTGACAAAATCAGAACCTATCCTGTGAGCTTTATTAATCGCTGCAAGGCCGTACCATTACTAGCTGCCTCTGCACGGCTGCTACCCAAGGCCTGGCTCCCACCTTAACCCCATTGTCCTAATGTTGAGAGTCAGCTGTCTGCTGACCTTCTTCAGGCCTCCATCAACCCCTTCCATCAGCGCCTTTCCACTCCCTATCTCAGAAGTTAGCGTCTAGCAGCAGGAAAGAGACATTCTGGAGGAAATGGGGAGTCTTAGGTAGGCAACTAGCTCACCTAGCTTCCAGCATTGAAAAGGCAGAGGGCAACCCCAGCTACCCCAAGGGCTGGCATGACCTGGGCATCAGGGAATGTGCCTTAGAAAGAGCTACTGGGAGGGGAATGTGGGGCAGACCCTAAAGCTACCGTGAGGCTCTAGTTTAAGGTTTGAGAGGTTCACTGAGTGGAGCGGTGTCTGGAAATCTGAGAGCCCCTCAGCCTCAGTAACGACCTTCATGCTCTGTCTGGTGGAGGCACAGACTCTTACAGCCTTGGAACTGAGTTTGATGGATCTTCAGGAATCAGGGTTGAGAGTAGGTGGACTAACTGAGGGTCACGGTCTTTCTCAGGCAGAAGAAGAGCGCCATGACATGGAGAAGGTCAAACTGGACAATAAGAGGATCCTCTTCAACCTCCTGCCAGGCCATGTGGCCCAGCACTTCCTCATGTCGAATCCTAGGAACATGGTGAGCTCTGGCATTACCAAGTGCTGATTGGCTGGGAGGTGGCAGAGCTCTAGTAGAGGTCCAGTGTGTGTTTGCTTTCACACCACTTCTGCCCACCGGCTGCCTCTCTGAACTCAGTTGCCCTCTGGTTGTATGGGTCCCCAGTCCCTCCTGGCCCCCTTTGCTGATCCAGAAGGACAGGGCTGGGCTAGGTGAGGAAGACACTCTCAGAAGGTGGGTTTGGCAGAGCCATGAAATTAGTTTGCTGTTACCTTGGATCACACAGGACAGAAAGCAGCCTTGGCCATCCCCTGCGGGAGAAAACGGACTTTGCAAAACCACAACCAATGTTAAGAAAAAGCAGTTTATTTTAATGCCTGAAACTGTTGAGTGGAGTTGCTCTTTGCTTGCAGACGAGTTTTGGCCAAGTGTGCATTACACAATAAATTCGCCTGAGTGTAAAATGGTTTGCTTACACATCTGATTAAGCATATTGGGTATTCATTTTCCCAATATGTGGTTTCTTAGTGCCTTCAACTGCTGCCACAAAGAGCTGGGATGCCAGTACAGAGATGAAACCAAAAAAATGATGATTCAAAAGCAAAAGGATTCAGGGCCCAGTGAAGCCAGCTTTTCAGCTTGAGCTGATTCCTCAGGGCAGATCCTTAACTCAGTTGTGCCTCCAGCCATCCAGAGCACATAGCTTTGTAAAATTGTTTCTACCCCAACTACCACCCCCTTGCCTCACTAAGCACAAGGCTGTAATGTGTGCCAAGGGCCCACAGTTGTTGAGTGTGTAACCTTGAGCAAGTTGTAAAGCCTTTGGGAGCCTTTTCCTTCTCTGTAAAATGGGCTCGTAGCGCCCCCTGGCATCATGGGAGAAGGTACCAGCGAGAGATGTTGACTCTACTAACTTGTTTGGCCCCTCCAGGACCTTTACTACCAGTCTTACTCACAAGTGGGGGTCATGTTCGCCTCCATCCCCAACTTCAACGATTTCTACATTGAGCTGGACGGCAACAACATGGGGGTCGAATGTCTGCGTCTTCTGAACGAGATAATCGCAGACTTTGATGAGGTAATGTCCACTTTGATTTGTCCTGAACCCCACATACTCCTGAGTGCTCTGTCTGTAGCTGCTGTGTAGGTTCAGGAGATGCTCCTTTGCCTAATAGAATCCTGCATGTGCCCAGCACCATATCATGTGCCCTATGGGGGGGACATACACCCTGGGGGAAGCACTCTCACATTGCTGCTGAGAACCGACATTGGTGATGTGCCATGGAGTCGGTTCTGACTCATAGTGACCCTGTAAATCTGTATGGGAGCAGAAAGCCTCACCTTTCTCCCGTGGAACAGCTGGTAGTTTCCTACTGCTGACCCTGGGGCTAGCAGCCTGACTCGTAACCACTACACTACCAGAGCTTCTTGAAAAGCAACATTAGCTTGGCCTTCCTTTTTCGGCATGATTAATGAGAAGCGACATTAATCATGACAAGGAGGGCCAAACCAGACCAGACCCGCTGCCAGGGAGTCAGTTGGGACTCAGAGGGACCATGCGGTCTGTAACTGCCTCACACTGTGAGAGGAAGCACCAGGTGCCAAGCTGGCAGCTGAATGCTGAGGCACTTCGCTCCCAGTGAGCAAACCTGGGCTGTGTCCTGGGGAGTGTTTGGAGGCCCCGTCTGCGGGCACGGGGCTGTGTCATCCCTAGCTCTGGTTGTGACTGCCACATAGCCATTTCGTGAAGCATCGTGAGCATAGCTGTGGACAGTAGAGCTGTGGCTCTACACTTTAACTCCTTGCTTCTGCCTTTGACCCCTGCCCCCAGGCCTGTGTGTTTCAGTCCAGTCCCCATAGTTAACCCAGAGCCCAAAACCAGAGAGGAAGATTCATTTTCCGGATGTCCTTGTGCTTCTGTTGTTGCTCGTGGTGGCTGAGAACTGTGATGACTTGCCTACAATGTTATGTAATGTTGAACAGTTTTATGTTTTAAACCAAGCTCATGGAGAAAGACTTGTATAAAGATCTAGAGAAGATCAAGACCATTGGAAGCACCTACATGGCCGCTGTGGGGCTGGTGCCCACCGCCGAGGACAAGGTGAGTGTTGAGTGAGGGCCTGGGATTAGTCCTGTGACTGTGAAAAGCACCCCCAGCCTTGCTGCCCCCCACTACAGTCATCTGGATTGGCTTAGGGGAGTTGGGGAGCTGTCTTCAGAGAGTCATCTACGGAAACTCAGCCCAGAGGCAGCTGCCTTGAGTCCTGCATGCAGCTCTCCTTGCTGTTCCCACACCCAGGGTCCTCCCCGAATGACCAGTATGAGATTGGTAATGTGTCCCCGGCCTGCCAGGCGGTTTGGTTGAAGTAAACACAGTTGGGAGGCAGATAACCGGAGAGTACCCCAGAGGTATCTTAGTGTACCTGCTTCCAGTCATGCTGACCACTAGCTAGCTTCCAGCCCCTGCTCCCACAATCCCTCCATAGCCTTCATTCCTGGTGTGAGGTTTCCAGTCCAGGCACTGCTTGTAAGCATGGTTCATTACCCTGTTCCTGATGGTTCAGACGAGCTGCGCAGACATGGCCATCCCAAAGGGGAGTCATGTGTCCCCTACTCCTTTCATGCCAGTCACGGGACAGTAAGACCCCCTTCACAGATACTAGGTGGATGCCTTCCATCTGAGGCATTGCTTTACGTACACAGGGAGGTAAAGGGCTTGAATAGGCACCTCCCCTCTTCTGATGGGGTTTCCACTCCAGACTCCGGCTCTGGGTGAAATACTGCGTCTGTCATTCCTCAAATGGTGCTGACTTGTCCTTACACCACCTGCTCCGGAGTGACACCAAACTGTCAAGCGCAACATAAATCGTAGGCTCCTGGGCAGACAGACATCTGACCCAAAGATGAGGGCTACATACATGGGGCAGGGGTATGGGCAACATGCAGTAACCCTGGAAGGTCTGGATATGTGCCGGACAAGAGATTCCCTGGGAGGCTGTCACATGGCGCAGGGAGCTGCTTCATAAGGCCCAGGGCAGGCCCAGGAGGCTGGAGGGGAACTTGGGGGGACTACAGCAGTCCAGGCCCAGGGCAGGCCTGGGAGGCCGGAGGGGAGCTACAGGGGACCACGGCAGTCCAGGCCCAGGGCAGGCTCAGGAAGCAGGAAGGGAACTCCAGGGGACTATGGCAGTCCAGGCCCAGGGTCTTAGCTGTCATCAGACTATAGGACTTGACACAGTCCCCAGTCCAGAGGACCCCTGCAATGAGGATTGATCTCCTAGGGTGGCTATCACAAAGTACCATACACTGGGGGCATCAAAACCACAGACATTTATCGTCAGATCTGGAAGCCAGGTCAGTAAGGTTGTGGAGAACCCTTCACTGCCTCTTCTACCAGCTGGTGGCTCACGGCTGTCCCGGGCTCCTGGCAGCATTGCTCCAGTCTCCACCTCCTCCTCCTCTGTCTCTTTCCCTGTCTCCTTTTTTCTTTCTTTAAAAACTTTTTATTCTGCATTGAGGGAAAGTTTACAGACAAAATCATCAGCTTTACATTCGACAAATAATACACTTAGTTTCATCTCAATGATGATTACAATCTCCTCCCTGCAACAACAGCTACCCTACTTCCTCCCTATGACTCCCCATTTGTAATCATACAAAACAAAAAAGTATGTATTAACTGTCCAGAGGGCGCCTTCTGCCAGTCAGGCTCCTGCCAGCAGGCACACAGCCGTAGGCAGCCGGCAGCAGCTGTCTCTCCATACCATCGTCTGTCTCTGTGGCCGCTACTTTTTCTAGGTTGTTTTCCCCTCTTCTTATAAGGACACTTGTCCTAAGGAGATCAGAGTCCACTAAACTGACATGGGTAGTGGCCACAGGGAGGGGAAGGTGGTCCCCTAGGAGACCTCCTGCAGACCAAAGGAGCAGTGAATTCACAGGACAGGATGTGCCAAGTCATCAGTTGGTCCCCTGAAGCCTGGAGGAGAAGGAATTTTCCAATTATTTTTTCTGGATGGCACTTAGCATTGATGGAAAGGAAAAAAAAGGGACAACAAAGGCATTGTCCTGGAGCAAAGGGCCTTGCTGTTTAGGACCATGTGTTCACCTGTGACTAGACTGAGTGGGGCAGTCATGCCAGGTGACTGGGGAAAGGAAAGCATTGGCACTGAGATGCCCAGCAAGGACTGGAATGGGCACCCACAGGCAGTTGGTCTATGTTCCCGGCTTGCTGTATTCTGATGGCATTGGAGTCACAGGTGTTGGAAAGATGTCATGGGAAGTGGGGCTCCGTGTTAGCATTTGTCACTCAGTTGCAGGGATTTGTGTGTTTAAAAGAGCAGCCGCAGCTCATCTGTACAGTTAGCTGTCAGTTGCCCCTATCTGTATCTGTGATGCGCCCACTTTCTCTCATGGTCTTCCTCAGTCTGGGACTCTGACTAAAGTTCACACCAGCTCCCCGTGAAAGTGTCACTGTGAAAATAGGAACAGAAGAATGAAATGTTCACTTCTAGACCTGCTCAGCCTGAACCACAGCAACCCCTGTATGTGGGGAGGCTGGTGTGCAGTCTGGCTATAGTGGCCGAGAGGAGGGTGGCCAGCCAGGAGCAAACCAGGAGAGGCATCTGCTGCTCATGCTAGGCAGAGAGTCAGTACTGCTGGGGAGTGAGGGCCCTACTGGAGTTTGGTTAGTTTCTGAAACTCGGCCATTCACACTGTGGCATGTGCACAGTTACAATCACATTTCTATCCTCAGTCTCCACTGCCACCCTGGTGCTGCCCCCGCTCTCATCTGTGTTGTCCCAGTTCGTTGTTGTCCCAGGTGAGGCCCAAGGGAGGGTGTGGGCTCCTCACTGTGCACAGGGCCCCAGAACAAGGCAGCACTCTTAGAACAAGCTCACATACCATCTCCACTAATCTGTGTGCAGAGGGGTTCCTGCTTCAGAGCGTCAGCACTGCCTGCTGAACTCTCTGACCCTACCCTGTACCCACAAAAAAGCACTCTTTCCAAAGTTGGAGACTATTAAAATTTCCCCAAAAATGAGAAAACCTTCCCATCGTTTTTAAAGGTCACCATTTCAGAAATGATGCTAAAGTGCCGTCGAGTTGGCTCTGACCCGTAGTGACCCTGTATAGGGTTTCCGAGGAGTGTCTGGTGAACTTGAACTGCCGACCTTACAGTCCAGTGCATTACCCCACAGCGCTACCCCAGGATAGGACCCTGTAATAGCACTGCCCCTCCCAAATGACAGACTCAACATGCGAACTGCCCCGACCCCTGGGTACCTGCTCACTGTGCTCCCCCACTCTGCAGTGGCCCAGGGAAAGCAGTGCATACGCATCGGAATGTTTGCTCAGCCACCTGTCCCCGCTGCTCCACCCCACCCCAAAGGTGGGCCTGTGTACGGGGGAGGACTGCCCTCAGGACAGTACCTACACCCCCGTGTCCAGTCAGTTCTGAGTCACAGTGACCCTCTCCGGGGTCTCCAAGGCTGTAAACCTTTACATGAGCAGAAAGTGTTTTCTACCGCTGCAGGGCAGCTAGTGGGTTTGAACTGCCGACCTTGCAGTGCTTAACCTACAGTGCCACCAGGGCTCCCCAGTAGAGTGGAGTGGGTACAGAATGTGTTCTGGGCCATCCTGGAGAATGCTGAAAATCCACCCCCCCACCCCATTCATGAAACTCACCCAGGGCCAGTCCTATCCACATCTAATAACCATCTGCTGCTCCCTAGGCTAAGAAGTCCATTACCTTCCACCTCCACATACTTGCGGACTTTGCCATAGAGATGTTCGATGTCCTAGATGAAATCAACTATCAGTCATACAATGGCTTTGTCCTCCGTGTGGGTAAGATACATTCTCTGCCCAGTCAGTTCACAGCTCCCACTTGGTTCTACTAGGAGCAGGACCAAGACAAGATTCTTGGTCCCACAGGCAGGAGGGTGGTGCCCAGAGGAGAATATGGATGTAGCAACAGGACACAAAGCCTCAGATAGTTTGTTGTTGATTTTTGTGAAGTACTGTCGAGTCAATTCCAACCCATAGCAACCCTGTATAGGGTTTCCAAAGAGCAGCTGGTGAGCTTGAACCACCAACCTTGCAGTTCAGATGACTTTGCCGTCTGACGCATTAGCCCACAGTGCCACCTCTGAATTATGAAAGGGAAGATGCTTTGGCATCATGAGACCCGTTAGAAACCACTTGGTCATCTTGGACATTTTAGCTGTATCTCTGATTCCACTTTGGCTGGAGGGCAATGGTTTCTTTCCTGTCTGCAGCTGCAGGCAACCCCAGCACCAGCACTGGGCAATGGGACAACCCAGGAAGTGGCCTCCAGAGAGGGCGAGGAAGTGGCAGCTGCTCAGATTTTCATGAGCATTTCAAGAGCCAGTGACCATAATGTTGTTACTCCCTGCCCCAACCACCCTCAAATGAGTCAACCCATGAATGAGAATAGGAGGTCTGACTGGCATGAGCTCAAGCGAGAACAGCTTCTCTACAGATAGACTACCGGTGTGTGGTACCAGCCTCAGAGATCCTATACCAGTGGTTCTGTCCTGTGACCACAGAGAAGTCCACACTGGGCTGGAGGTCACCCAGGTCTGCCTGGGTCTCTGTCACTGCCCATTCTATAGAAAGACAGGGGACCTCCATCCTCTCCCTTCACTGCATCGTGTGGGAACATCCCCTTCTCTTTAAATTCCATTTTTCACCAACCTTTTGAAGTCTCCTTATGCTGTAACCAGTTCTGGCTCCCACCCTAAAAGACATCTGACTGAAGAGTCAGCGAGGCACCATTTTTTCTGAAAATGGGAAGATGCAGTTGAAGGGAAACGCAGTTGTAGTCTTAGGTGTTCGATAATCAGATTTCTCAGGGCCCCCAGGGGCAGGATTCAGCACCATGTGTGAGCCGGACAGCTCCAGGGTCACGAAGACCTTCCAGCAGTCAGCCTGCCCCACAGGGGCTTGGGCCGCAGCATCAGGAAATAGCTCCCTGTGAGCCACATGTCTACAGAGGTGTAGCCCCCAGTGGTGCTGCAGAGACCACTGCTTTAGGAAGAAGGGCCAGAGGAGATGACCCCAGAATTGTAGGGCCTTGGAGGAGTCGCCTCCTCCTTCAAGAACAGGGTCTAGGGCCAGGTCGGGGCTTGTAGGTTGTGGTAACCACATGTTGTGGGCTAACACCACCTGATGCTGTTGTCTGCAGGCATCAATGTCGGCCCTGTGGTGGCTGGGGTGATTGGAGCCCGGAGGCCTCAGTATGACATCTGGGGCAACACAGTCAACGTGGCCAGCCGTATGGACAGCACTGGCGTCCAGGGCAAGATCCAGGTCAGTTCCAGTAGAGATCCTCAAGGCAGAGGTAGTTACTTCACAGGAAATGGAAGCACAAGTGGTAAAATGTGGCACGCCTGAGGCCAACGAGCAGCAGTGCAGAATCAAAGCTACGGTCCAACGCCATGACAGGTGCCTCCCATGACCTTTCACCGCCCCCTCATGGCTGAGTGACTTTCAGATCTTCATGGGTCTGCTGGGGGGAGGACGGGGGGATGACTAGAATCCTGAAAGGTGTAATTTGCTGCTTGATCGGGCATGTACTCTGAGTCGCTACAGCCAGCATGGGCATTGGTAGTTGTCACTGTGGTCTTGGTACGTTAGTTGGCCTCACTGCAGCTTGGGGCCAGCCTGTAGGTGAGTGTGTGTGTGTGTCTGTGAGCAACATGCCTAACAGTGTTCTGATTCCTTCCCTCACCCCTCATGCATTCCCAGCACCCCCTGCCCAGTTGCTTTAGCAGCGGATGGGCTTTCTCCATTGTTTCCATTCTGTTCCCAAAGTGGGAGTGGTAGTGGGAAGGTTTGACAGAGACCCAGGGGACACGGCCCTGTGCCTGCTGAAGTCTGTCCTAAAAGAGAGACAAGTGAAGGGAGACATTAGTACTGCACTTACTGTAAGATGCCCTTGTTCAATGTAACAGAAGAAGGGGCTCAGAGCCGCAGGCCCTTCCTGGTTTGTTTGTGTGCCCAAATCAAGAACTGTTTTCTGTTAATGTGTTAAGTTTGGTTCTTTCTTCTTTTTGGATGTGTGCGCTTATTGCAATAAAGTGTCCTTTCAGCACCGCTTTCGCAGTGTCCCAAAGATTTTGGTATGTTGTGTTTTCATTCTCATTTGTTTCTAGGAACTTTGTGAATTCATGTTTAATTTCTTCTACTACCCAGTCACTTTTCAGCAGGGTGTTATTCAGTTTCCATGTATTTGACTTGATTTCCTTCCTATTGTTGATTTCTAATTTGATATCATTGTGGTCTGAAAAGATGCTT